ATTGCGAGGGGAAAGAGGATTGCGGAGTTGCAGGCGGAGGTGCAGAGGGGGGTTAAGGTGGGCAAGGGGAGGGAGAGGGCGATTAGGGAGTTGGATGCGTTGGTGGGGAGTAGTTGGTGAGTCTTCCCTTTCTGCTGTCACCTCAATTTCGGGAAAACCTGAATAGTTCCGGAGCCTACATCGACGTTGGGGCACCTACTTTGCAGGTTTTCATGTCGATGTAGGCTGCAGGCCTGTTCAGTTTTTTTCCTTGTATGAGGTGCTGTTTTCTTCTTTGCTGTGCTAACAATGTGTTTTAGTGTACTGTGCGGTGAACTTGCCGTTAAGCTCGTCAACGAACCTTTCATCACCGCAACTGACGACAAGGACGAATGGGCTGTTTGATGGAGAAACTGATTACCCTGGAGGATACGTTGACCCTGGGCCACCTACTTTGCGTGTTTTTATCCTAATGTAGGCTCCAGGGTGTCCCAGATATACCTAGGTTGACGTGCAGCTTAAAGATATCATCATCAGCACGAAATCATAAAAGGAATTCATATTATACATTTCTTTTGAATTGCATCTCTATAAGCCCCGCCCCTGCATGTGATGGTATACAAATTTTAGTAGTGCCGTACAATAAAACGGAGCTGATGATATTGATTCCCCCCGTTGTCTGCCCCCACCCCCGGAGACGCCGTAGCGCTGATGCAAGAACTAAGAAGAAAGGAAGAATAAGAGGCGCCAAAAGAAAAAGGATTAGACAGATAACTCAAACGAACGCCAGATGGTGATACTTTTTCCAAGACTGTTGGCCTTCGCCATGGAACGACATGCGATAGCGCTACTCATCCTCATCGTCGTCCATGGCGGTGTCACCATTAGCTTTCGGGGCGGCAATAGCGTCGTCGTCTTCATCTTCGTCGTCGACGACGCGGGCTTTGCGGGGACGAGGCGCAGCAGCAGCGGCACCTTCGTCGTCGCTGCCCGCCGTGCTCCCAGCCTTGTCTCCGTCTTCAGCGGGCGCAGCACCATCCTCGTCGCTCTCATCGTCGATGAACTCCGCAGACTTGTATTTACCGACTGGTTCGCTCTTGCGGGCGAGCTTCCTCTTCTTCTTCTCGCGGGGCCGCTCTTCGTCGGATAGGTCCTCGGTGCCACTTGCTGTAGTGCGTCTGCGTCTTGAGCGTGGCTCGTCGTCGTCGGAAGGCAGGCCGTCGGTGTCGGAGTCGGCGTCCTTCTTCTTGCGCTTGGGGCCCTTGGGGCCGCGTGCTTTGCGCTCTGCTTTGCGGACTTCCTTGTCTTCGTCTTCTTCCATGCGGCGACGCTCTTCTTCGTTGCGCTTCTCCATGAGTTCGCGGTCGCGCTGGAGGAGCCGCTGTTGCTCTTCTGCGTACTTGCGCTTCTTCTCTAGGGCCTCTGCTTCTGCGCGGGCCTTTTCTTCCTCGCGGCGGCGCACTTCGGCTTCGCGGATGCGGCGCGCTTGGTCGAGCTTGGTCGCGTTTTCGCCTTCGTAGGCGGCTTGCTTTTCGCGGGTACGCTCGAGCTGCTTCACCATGGTGTTGCGACCCATGTTTGCACGAGCGGTAATGTCGGCACGTGGGAAGGGCGGGTTCTCCTCCTTGGTGAGCTTCTCAAGTGTTTCAATCGCCTCGTTGAGACCTGTGACGGCTTGGTCGACGTCTTCGAGCGTGCGCTGTTGTTCGGTGAGCTGGTAGATTCGGGTGGCGATCTGGAACTGGACGAAAGCGACGTTGAACTGAGAGTTGAGGTCTGCAGGAGCGGCCGCGAGCGCTTGCTTGGAGTAGTCGAGAGCAGTTCGGAATCCGGCGATGCTGTTTTCATGCTTGGCTCGGAGATACCAAGTTCGTCCTAAACAAGCCAGGATCTTTGGATCGTTGTGTCTGTTCCGAGATAGGGCTGCTTCGTACTTGGGTGTATTAGCAAGGTCAACAATGTAGGGAGGGGAACGCGCTTACGTTTTCAATTGCTCGCGCATACTGCTTGATCTCGCAATACGTATGTCCCAAGTTGACAAAGACACTGTGATCCTTGAGTGTTTCTCTGACCTTTGAGAAGATCTGCAGGGCTGTGGAGTAGTCCTTCTTGTCTTCTACTAGCGCAATGGCGATACCCTGAGCAGCATACGCATTCTTCGGATCGAGTTGAAGTACCTTGTCGAAGAACTCCACAGCTCGTTCATAGCTCTTCCGACGCTTCTCTTTATCCTGTTCCGAACTTCGTGGCATCTCGCGCGCGATAGCAAGATGGATGTTGCCCATGCCCATTAGCGAGTAGCGATCATGCTTGTCCGACTTCTGCAGAGTGTGTTTGTATAGTCGCTGCTCGTCGTCCGCTGCGAAGTTGGAGGTCTTCTTCTTCGACTTGTTGACATACCACCCGTACAAGGCTCGCACCTCAACATTGTCCTCGTTCTCTTTGAAGAGATCTTTCATCGCTCTGGGGCCCTCATCTTGTGGGTTCTCCCTCAATGCAATGTAGGTAAGGCGAATGCGCGCGTCGACGTAATCGGGGTGTCGCTGGAGCAGACTGTTGTAGACCTTCTTTGCTTCCTCCGCTTGGCCCTCGGCTTCGTAAGTTCGGGCAAGGTTGAAACTGATCGAGGTAACGAGTGCGTCCGTGTCGATTGTGTCGTCGCGGTTTTCGGCGTTTACGCAGGCGTTGAGAGCCACTTGGAAGAGTTCCTGAGCTCGCACGTAGCGCTCGGCCTGGAAGTGGAAGCAGCCCATGTTGTTGAGCAGTTGTGGCGGTAGGAGTTGGCGAAGTGCCGCTGTGAGTTCAGCACCCTCCTCGACGCCATCTGGATAATCCTCCTCTGGGATGGCTTCAATTTCCATTTGCTCCACTTCTTCAAGACACTTCAAGCTCTTTTCGGGGTGATCGGTCTCGTAAAGTCGAGCCAGGTTGAGCAAGACCGACTGGTCAGGGACGACCTTCTTCTTGGGATCCTTCCATGCGCTCTGTACGCTCTCCAGATACTTCAATGCCTTTTTCAACTCGGCGGACTTATCCTCGGTGGACTTGTTGTTCTGAGCGGTAAAAACGTCTTCAGCGAACAGTGTGCCAAGTAATGTCTGGGCTTCAACGTTGGGCGATTGCTGAAGGATCTTCTCGAGGCGGAACTTTGCGCCATCGTAGTTGTTCATCAGGACGTTCATCTGGGCCAGTCCGAATTTGGCTGGTATGAAACCCCGCTCCTCGCCTCCACGGGCCTGATCAGACTTCTGGTAGTACTCGGCGGCAAGTGAAGTGTTGTCCTGTTGATGTGCGACCTTGGCTCGTAGGTACCAACCATCGCTGGCTATGGCGTTGGTGTCGGTGAGTTCGATGGCGCGTTTCGCTACGTCTTCGGTTTTGGCGACATCTCTCCTCAGGGCAAGGTAGCTACCGACTGTGGCACAACTCAGGGGGTACTGGTTGTCGATCTTCAAGGCGGGCTGAATGTATTCACCAGTCGCCTTCTTGATGAGTGCGGCGAACTTGGGGTCGGAGGTAGAAAGGTTGGCGGTCTGCTGGAAGTTATAGATGCCCAGTAGAATCAGGGCGATCTTGGAACTTGGGTTGAGCTCGAGAGATCTCTGCCAGGCGCTGGCAGCCTCGTCCTTGTGGCCAAGTTGCCAGAAACAGCAGCCGATACCGATGCGTGGATCTGGGTCGAGGAGGTCCGGAGAGCTCTCGAGGATATTTTGGTATCCCTTCAAGGCTTCTGCCCACTTGCCCATGGAGTAGTGGACGCGGGCCTTGCCCATCTTAGCCATGAGGTTCCTGCCGCCGGATGCCCTCAGCGCGTCCTCGAAACATTTGGCAGCCTGCTTGAGCGTCTCCATGCGCTCGGGGCTGACAGTGGAGCCGGCCGCCGTCGCCGGGCCCTGGAGTGAGGCCCTGAGAAGGTATAGAACACCGCGAGCGAGGAACAGCGGGGGGTGCGAGGGGCTGATACGGGAGGCATCGTTGAGTACGCCGGTGGCCGACTGAATCCAGTACTCCTTGAGTTTCACGTCTGAATCTGCGTTTTCTGGACGTGTTAGTCATGGTATACATGTAGAGATTCCGATGACATACGAGGCCTGACGCGCGGTGCTTCGCGACACTTGAGCAGGTACAGCCAGCAGAGGCCGTTGAGGATGCTGAGCCTGTCTTCGCCGCGCGCGCGGTTGAAGACTTGGGTGGCCTGTCGCAGCACGTCTATGGCCGTCTCTATCCTCTTGCGCTTCGCATAGGCGACGGCGACCTGGACCCACGTCGACGTCGCGCTCTTCTCGGCCTCTAGAATGTCGCATAGCTCTGTCGGGTCGTCCTGAATCTGCTCGTCTAGGGGAATTTCGACATCGAGCTGGCCTCCCTCCTCATCGGCGACGGAGATGGTGATGGAGCTGGGCACGTCCGAGTAGCGCGGCGGTGGGAACATGCTGCCAGCGCCGTTCACGCCATTCGCGCCATTCGCGTAAACTGCAGCCATGCTGGGAGAGAAGTCGCGATCGGGGAGATGGGATTCGCGATTGGTTCGGGGACGAGACGGGATCAGCGCGACATATCAGGTGGGCAGGGCAGAGAGGTAAAGGCGCGAGGCTGAAGGCTGCCTCCGTTGGTGGTTGGATAAAGAATCGCGAGTGAGAGCTTCCAGGGAGCGCGGAACGGCGAAACGTGCGGAATCAATGTCTTGGCGCGTCTATGAGGCGTGACGGCGCAGACAAGATAACTTGGAACTTTCTTTAAGTTTTTTTTGCATGACTATATATAATATGTTGTTGAGAACCTACAAGGCGCAATATAATTTTACCCCCACAGTATCATGCTTTATGTTCATGTTCGGCCTTGCTTTCATAGTAGGCTCGCGTTGGTGATCCCTGCTGCTACTCCAACACCCCCGAGCTCCCCGCAACAGTACACATGCACCACATGGACACCCAATGACGCGCAATCCTCACTGTTGCGCACCATGCATGCCCGAATAAGCCACGCACGGAACACAACACTGCGCGACGCCTGAGTGCACCATGTCGCGCAATCCGGGCTACTCGCGGGCGGGACCCAATGGAGGCTATGCCAACGCCAACGGCAGCTACAACGGGGGAGGTTATAATGGATACGGCGGCGGCGACGGCAGCTACGACGGCCGACCGAGCGGCGAGCGAGCGCGAAGACCAGGCGGATACGGCGGCATGAGCGCGCAGCAGGACGACTACCCACCCCGACCGAGCAATGAGCGCGAGCGACCCCGACGACCCGGTGGCTACGGTGGCCTTGCCCAAGAAGACGAGATGGAGAGGAGGCCCAGCGGCGACCGAGAGCGCAGGGCGGGTGGCTATGGGGGAGGCGGTTTTGCAGGGCGTGACGAGAGCCCTCGCCAGGTCACACGGCCTACCAGCATCGAGCGCAGCCAGGCGAAACGACGCAGCGGAGAGCGCCAGAATGGGAGCCGCCCCAGGAACGCAAACAACGGACAGGGCAGTCAGGCAATCGAGGAGGTCCTCCAATATATACGGCAGAACTGGGACTTCATGACCAAAGACCAATGCGTTCCCATCGAAGTCGCCTTGAAGCTTATGGACTCAAGTTCGCTCGGTCTGGCGAGTCAAGCTGGCCAGTTTCAGCAGACACACGACCAGCTGCAGAATGCGCTCAAAGGCATCGTCAACGAGCACCACCAGGGTTTCAACAGTTCCATCGGTACCTTCCACCAGATCCAATCCAGCCTGCAAAGCTCCCAACACCGTGTCAGGACCCTCAAAGGCTCGCTTGTCGCGGCCAAATCATCCCTCTCTACAGCCAAGCCAGAGCTCAGGGAGTTTGCGACCACATCCCAGAACTACGATGAGATGCTACAGATGCTCGACACGATTGAAAAACTTCAGCTCGTCCCCGAGCGGCTGGAGGCTCGCATATCGGAGAAGCGTTTCTTGACAGCAGTAGACATACTACAAGATGCGCTACGCATGATACGAAAGACTGAGATGGAGAAGATTGGCGCCCTATCAGACTTGCGTACATACCTCAGCAACCAGGAAGTGTCTCTGACCGACATCTTGATCGAAGAACTCCACAGCCATCTCTACCTCAAATCGCCCTACTGCGAAGACAGGTGGAAGGAGTATGCCCAGAATCAAGTCAAGGGTGACTTGTCTCAGCGTGCCCAGACTGACGCGAGGGGTCGGTTGCTTTACTACTTCCTTGATGGTCTTGACACGTCAGAACCAGTAAGTATGCCCACCCTAATTATGTATACTACTCACATTTCTAGATGACCGATGACTCCACCCACAACCCCGAAACAGACACATTCCAGTACATACGGCTGGTCATGGAAGCATTGAACAAGATGAGCCGCCTAGACATGGCAGTAGACACCATCGAGCAACGCCTACCGGTCGAGCTCTTCAAGGTTGTCGACAAGTCTAACAACGAGGTCGCGCAACGCCACCCGAGCATACTGCGAGCTTACTCCGCCAAGAAGAAGGGCAAGGCAAAGACTGAGGTAGAAAACGAGGATGTTCGAACAACTTTGTTGAACGACTTGATGTGGACCCTTTATGCACGGTTTGAAGCAATTGCGGAAAGCCACCGGGTTGTGCACGATGTTGTGGCCGGCATCGTCCGTCGGGAGAACCGAGGTGCATCAAGTGCGACGTTGACCCGCGGCTTCAAAGAGTTGTGGAAGCTCTATCAAAGCGAGGTTGGTTATCTGCAGTACTGCACATGCTGCTCAGCTGACAGAATCTAGATGCGGTCACTACTTCACGACTATCTTGCTACGGATGGCGAAGCGTCTTACAGAGGCGGCCAAGGCCAGGCATCTACTGGCAGCGCATTCTCTCGCGCTCCTCGGGACCGGAGCAAGCGCATGTTCAAGCTATCCGACGTGGATACAAAAGCGTCTGAGCTTTCCAAAGAGCGAGACGATCTTGAGGTCATCCTGAAGACGTCTGTGCCCGGACTTGTATCTGACTCAAAGAGACCAGAGGATGTCAACACCAGCACGGCTACCAATCTCGATGGCAGTGCGACTGGGCATAAATTGCTCGTTGAGCCTAGTGTGTTCAACATGGGCATACTATTACCGCCATCATTAGACTTCTTGAACCGGTTGAAGGAGGTTGTACCCTCAAACGCTGACATTAGCATGAGTACTTTGACCTCGTTCTTGGACGATTTCCTCGTCAACGTCTTCCATCCACAGCTCGATGAGACCCTTATCGAGTTATGTTCTCAGACCTTCATCGAGGTTGACTCTTTCAATGAGGACACTCAATGGTCGAAACACTCAAAGAAGCCCATTTTCAAGGTACGTTTTCCATTGGTCTTATGCTCCGCATGCTGACTCAACAGGGTACTGCACAATTCTTCACACTCATCACAGCTTTCTGCAAGATGCTGGATAACCTTCCCCATGACCAAGCGTTCTCTCAACTCATCGTCAATCAAATGGACACATACGCTCAGAAGTGCACTGGCTGGTACAAAGCCCTCGTCAGTCGATCACAGGCTACAGCAAGTGGTCGTCTAATGAAGGCTCCTGCCGTCTGGTCAGAGTCCGAAGCAATGGAAGACCTCATCGCCCATCTGGTGCGAATAGACTCGTCTGACCAAGAGAGCTTGAACAAGGCCGTCGAAAGTGAAGTTGCTCTTTTGATCGAAGCAGTCGAAGCCGATGAGCCTCTAGATCAAGCGGACATGATACAGGACAAGAAGAGTATCGTCAGCTTATGTTTGCTGTACACAAGCATGAAGTGGCTGGCTACCAAGACCGCCCAACTTCGACATATCAGTGATCGTGCCTCTGACCCGATCAACGCTGAGTCGAGTGGCCAGAGGCACAATAGACGGTGGACGCAGCTCTCCTCTGCCGATCCCAGGCCACAGAGCGCTCATATCTACCTCCCATTGAGCGCAGATACAGCCGCGTAAGTGTCTCGACATCCATAAAAGCCGTAACCTACTAATCGAGGAGCAGTATCTTCGACGCAGTAGTAGGAACCTACCAAGCCCTCAGCACACGCGTACTTCGCACCCTGCACCTCTCCATACGCTCAACAATCCTGTACTCGCTCAACGCAAGCATCCAGCCCAACATCTACATCGACACACTACTCAGCGACCCCGACCCCGCCATCCTAGCTCTGAACGCCACGCTCGTCTCCTTCGACACCGAAGTATCAACCTACATACCCACCGCCTCATACGTGCACATCACCCGCGGCCTCGCCACCCTAATGGACACCTACCTCCTCAACCTCTGCACCTCCAAAATCACACGCATGAACACCAACGGCTGCGCGCTGATGCAACTCAACATCCTCGTCCTGCAGCAGAACCTCAAGAACATCGAGGACGGCGCCACTCTGCCCTACGCAGCCCTCTTTTTCGATCTCTTCACCGCAGGCCCAGACGCGATTATCGCTCGGGCCAAAGACTACGGCAAGGGCTTCGGCGTCCCACGCAAAGTGTTTGGTGAAGAGGAAGTGAAGAAGTTGTTGCAGATGACGTATGAAGAGAAGTTGAATGCGGAGAATAGGGAGGCTAGTGTGCAGGCGAAGAGGGCGTTGGATGCGCAGTTGTTGGAGATTAGTGAGTTTATGTATTGATATGCGCGGGTTCTCATCTTCTTGGGCCACTCTGTTGCGTGGCGACGTTTCTTTTCAGGAAAGGCTGTTGTAGCTGTAGTAGCTGTAGTATCACCTTAGCTATAGTGGCGAATTTAAACATGACCTTTATCCTTAGCCCCTTACACGACAATAGATCTGACATGTCGAACGTTTTGGGAACGCGCGCAGCAGCATACATAGCCAAGACGGCGTCCGGGGCCGTACCCACTCCAAATCGTTGCAATCAAATCACCAGGAGCACGAATACAAAAAGATGCGCCTGGGGTCATGCAAGCCCGCTGAGTCGCTTAGATCTACGCCCCTGTCATCTTCGGCGACGTTGTACGCGCACGGACGCCGCCTCGTGCGACGTCGCCGAACTGCTCATAAGGCTGGCCCAGTGATGGGGCTTCAGCTACGCCGCGGAACGGCGCGTTTTGCTGACATGATGTGGTATGATGGTTTTGTGGAAGGCTTTCACCGCTTCGTTATCGGGGTGGATGTACAGGCGTTCTGCAAGAGTGTAACGCTGCCTAGGTGCTTGCTGGACCGAATCCATTGTCACAGGAAAGAACTGGAGTAGGTAGGAGTAGGCATGATACTACGCCGCACCGCACTGCAAGGAGACCTTCCAATAAGACCCCGAATCCGGCGTCTAATACTCAAACATACTGCATCCTGCATCCCAATCTTGTACGAGCGAATCACAAACACAACACCCACATACCATCTATCTCGCCTCTGCACGCCACGCTTTCATCACCCACACTCGCTTAGAACCGTTCGATACGGGCGTGCAGATACCCGTTGGAAGACAGCTTCCAGCCACAAGATTATGCTGATCTCACTTGATGATGGTGTAAGGGTGTTTCCTACCTGAGGTGTGCATGCATGTGAGGTGGCAGATCTCAGCGCCGCATATCACAGATTTCAGGCCACCCCTTACGGTGACCTGAATTGATTGTTGTCGCCGATGACAGTTTGTGATATCGGACCGTCGGGGTCTTCGCAGCGGGCTGTGGGTTGTCGGGGTTTGGGGGCGTGAGTGTATCGGGGGTCAGACGCATGTTATATGCTTGCGGGCTGCCCTTTCTTTGTTGGATTGTACTTGGTTAGCTCTTACGGATTTCGTGCGCAATAAGTGTACCTTCACTTAGCTTCACATCCAAGACGAAGACATCACGAAGCATTGATCAGGTTCGCGAGTTCAATCATGTCTTCGGCTAGTACTGCGGAGGACGTTGAGAAGGGTGTTTCAGGCACTGACTATGCGCATCTAACCAACGATGAAGTCAAAAGCTTCAGCTGGGAGAATATCACTGTCACGGTCAAAGATAGGACGTCTAAACAGCCAATTGATCTCCTATCCAACGTGAGCGGCATGATCGAAGCCGGAGAGATGATGGCATTGATGGGTCCAAGGTACGTCCAGAGTATTCCCAGCCTCATATACAGATACCTAACGAAAGCCACACAGTGGCTCCGGTAAAACGACTCTCCTCAACATCCTCGCTCATCGCGCCGCCATACCCAAAGCCACCATCCAACAAACACTTCGAGTCAACGGCGCGCCAACAACCCTATCCTCCTTCCGCAAACTAAGCAGCTACGTCGAGCAAGAAGACGCCCTAATCGGTTCTCTCACTGTCCGCGAAACACTCTACTTCGCCGCTCAGCTCGCCCTCCCAAGGTAATCGACATGGCCCCTCCCTATCCCAAAGCATTCTAACTCACCGCCCCTAGTTCCATATCCGCCTCCTCCCGCAAAACCCTCATAACCTCCCTCCTCACTCACTTCGGCCTAACCCCCCACTCGAACACACTAATCGGCACCCCCATCCGCAAAGGCGTGTCCGGCGGCCAGAAACGGCGTGTCAGCGTCGCCAGCCAACTCATCACGTCCCCTAGAATCCTTTTTCTGGATGAACCGACCAGTGGCCTGGATTCAGCGGCAGCCTACGAAGTCATCAAGTTTGTACGCGATATAGCGAAGAAGTATAGGATTTTGGTGGTGGCGAGTATTCATCAGCCGTCGACGGCGACGTGGAGGTTGTTTGATAAGCTGATGTTGTTGAGTGGGGGGAAGGTGGTTTTTAATGGCGGGGTTGAGGGGGTGAAGGGGTGGTTTGGGGGGTTGGGGTATGAGGTACGTTCTGTCTTTCTTTCCCTTACCGTACAGTGTTGAGAGAGCGGGGGGCTGACAAGACACTTCGTGTGTAGATGCCACTCTACACGAACCCAGCCGAATTCGTCATCGACCTCATCAACACGGATTTCTCACACGACAGCACCATCGCCCAGCAACGCCTCACCCACCTCCACACTTCCTGGGCTGCATCCCCCACCGCAGCCTCCCTGACCGCCAACATCCGTGCCGCCGCCGAAACAGCTTCATCTACCCCCATCACATCCTCTCCAACCGCCTCCAACACCCCCACTTCCGCCCTCCACACCACCCTAACCCTAACCCACCGCTCCTTCCTAAAATCCCACCGCGACATCGTCGCCTACGGCATCCGCATAGCCATGTACCTCGGCCTCGCCATAATGATGGGCACAGTCTGGCTACGTCTCTCCCCCACGCAATCCAACATCCAAGCCTTCACCAACGCCATCTTCTTCGGCGGCGCCTTCATGTCCTTCATGGCCGTCGCGTACATCCCCGCGTACCTCGAAGACCTCGCCATATACAGCAAAGAGCGCGCGAATGGACTATACGGCCCCACTGCGTTTATGCTGAGTAACTTTGTCGTGGGCGTGCCGTACCTCTTCCTCATCACCATACTGTTCTCCGTGGTGAGCTACTGGTTAGGCAATTTCCGGCCCGGCGCTGAGGGTTTCTGGATGTGGGTGCTGTGGTTGTTTTTGGATTTACTCGCCGCGGAGTCTCTAGTCGTTCTCCTCTCCTCGCTCATTCCCATCTTCGTTGTTGCGCTTGCGGCGACGGCGTTTGCGAATGGCCTTTGGATGTGCGTGAATGGGTTTATGGTGCAGCCGGATACGCTGAATGTGTTTTGGAGGTATGTTTTTCATTATATCGATTATCAGGCGTATGTCTTTCGGGGCATGATGGTCAATGAGTTTGGGAAGAGGAGTTATGAGTGTGAGAGGTTGGAGGGCGGGGGGTGTCAGTGTATGTATCCGAGTGCGTTGCAGGATCAGTGTTTGGTGGATGGGAAGGCCGTGCTGGCGGTTTATGGGTTTGGGACGGGGCACACGGGGAAGTATGTCGGGTATTTCCTGGTTATTGTTGTGGTTTATAGGTTGTTGGGGTGGGCGGTTTTGTATTTGCGGAAGCATTGAGGAGGGCGGTGATGGTAATCCTTGTTTTTCGATCTTTGCTCAAATCCTCGTAAATTAGACGAGGCAAAATTGCTGTCGTTTCCGAACTCCTTTCTCCATCTCTTCGATCAACTCTCCATTCATGATCTCGTCCTTGTACACCTGGCCTAGAAGAAGGTAGTTCTCGCCCCGGCGGCGTAGCGCAACTGGCGTGTATGCTCCTTCTAAAACCACGATAAGATCTCCTTCTCGTAGACAGACAGGGCCGAGGCCATAAGATCCGTCCTTGATACGAAACAATGCCCATGAATAGAAGAAACGGGCCACAAGCTCTCCAAAGATTTTCCAACCACTTCCAGATTCACAAAAGTCGTACTTGATTGTGCCATCTTCCGTTACATGTTTGGAGAGTATATATAGCAGTCTGATCCAATCTAAGAAACTCTGCAAATACTCCGTCACATTTTCTTCGCTTGCTTCGTAGTAATTAAAGGTTTCTCTGACCTGTCCTCCAGTCAATGTTCGTGCCATACAGATCATGGCGGGACTCAGATCACTGCCCACTGGGGCTTCTTGGGATACCGCCTGCCGCCAGTAGTCGAGAAGGAAATCAACGGGGTAATCCAGAGTAAGCTTCGTACTTTCAAGTCGACCTACATAGCTGAGGTCCGAGCATTTTCCATGCAGTACGGTCGTGGAAGAAACAGTTCCATATACTGAACCACATACAATGAGTTGCCGACCACGTGGCTGTGTGATACTTTCGTTCGGCACAGTAAACTTATATGTTCCGTATGCACTGGACGTAGGGCACAGCCCACCCCTCATCCGATCATGTGGTACAAGCTGCCACTGATCCCATTGAGGAACCCAAGACTCGTATTCTGGATGGCCGTCGTAGTCCACATCATGGTGGACATGGCCAAAGATTGCAAGATCGTTAGTCCATCTGATAATCGCAGTGGCAACGTCGTGAAAAACCTCTGGAGCAGACTTTTCGTAATCAATGGGAACAATGCTCCTTTCTTCGCCAAGCTCTGTCAGCCCAAGGATACCATATACCTTATCTCGAGGGTCCGTAGCATGCCAACGCCTGTAAGTCCTGAGAGCTCCTAAGAGACGACATTTGTCCTCCGACAATGGACCGTTCATTCGCCAGGCATAAGTCACGGTGATTGTAACTGAGACGGGCCTTTGGTGTCGGCTATACTTCATATTCCAGCTCGCTAGACGTACTGCAGTATACTTGGAGAGTTCTTCGGCTCCCCAGTAGTATACCAAATCAGCTGCTAATCTGAACTCTTGTATACACCACATGCGACGAAACCAAGGATTAGAAAAAAAGGCTTGCAGTGAATGCCATGGTAAGGAAGCGGCGAAAGCTGCGCCTGCGTCTGGTAAGCGCCAAGTGGAATCGCAATCCTCCGGATCACCATCGATCAGTTCCAAAGATTCGAAAAAACGCTTAACCTTTGAGGCGTGCTCATCCTCGTCGTTGCCAAGCCAAACAACGACGCGTTTGGCGCGAAGATATATTAAATCCATGCGGCGGACCTGCGAACTCTTCTCTTCATCGTCAGACTGAGCGATGCACAGTGCATCTGCCCAGACAATGCGCACCTCATTCGTCAGCCGCGACCTCACAAGCGCATCGTAGAGGCTCGCCGTCACCAAGTGCATTGTACCGTTACAGAGGATCTCACGTCGGTCGTTTGAGTCGCCCCAGCAGTAGGAGAGTGCTTCATATGCGGGATTATCGTCGACCTCGTACTGGCGAAGCTCGCATGATACTGGGAACTCAGGGGTTTGAGAGGGTAGGATGTGTAGCAGGCGCATCTGACTATTCGATAGACGCGTCGGATAGAGCGTCTCCATCGCGCAGAAGCGCTCGCAGGTTGAGCGACTGGTGAGTGGAAGACGATGCACAATCTAAGCAAGCGCAGCAGAAGAAGAGAAGCCAAAATGAGTAAAACAGAATCAGATGAGATAGCGGATATTCTTCCCCGTGCGCTTCTGTAGTAATAATGGGTGCAACTTTGATGGATGTATTGTCTCAAGCGGGGTAAAATGGATGCCTCAAGGGGTGGAAGCAGCGGCGAACAGAGGCTAGCCTGTTCTCGGCCTAGCCCGTAACTCCCCACTTTCGTGCATCTGGTCCGTCGATGCCCAGGGCAGCTCTTGCAAAATGACTCATTTTGTATCATATCGCTGCTGCGTATGGTCTCACAAATCTGCACTCCCATGACGACTTCCAATATCGGCATACCGTGTAGCGATGATGTACAAAAGGCGCCGTGGCTGCCTCATTGTGCTTCCCAGCCACCTCTCAGGCTTCCAAGGTTCCGCACCACATACATCGGTCAACACAGTGTAGCGATATCAGCTTACCAGCATGAGTACCTACGATCTTACGGATGAGAAAGGTCTCCAGCAATACCTCGAAGCGAACCAATTCCCAGCAGCTAGCGTGCAGCTCCTCTCAGGAGGCAATGCAAACTACGTCTTCCGCGTCACAAAGCACGACGGCTCCACAAACATCTTCAAACATGCAGAGCCTGTCCTGAAACTCAACAAGGACTTTGCACTCGATCCTGCCCGCATGGATTATGAGGTCCGGATTCTAGAAGCACTGTCTTCCACGAAGAGCCCTCTACCCACGAGCCTTACGAGCTCGAACGTACACGCGGCGAGGTTTTTGAGCTACGATCAATCAGAAAAGCTGCTCCAGATCGAGGATGGCGGGCGTCGTAACCTGAAGGACGCTTATACGGACCCGAAGCTCGACATATTGTACATTGGAGAGCAGCTTGCGACATGGCTCGCTGCCCTGCATGTATCAGCAAGGAACTTCTCGCTCGCTTCAGCGCACGAAGGACAAGACAGCAGCAACAATCCCATTGCTGTCAACGTATACCGATACTCTTACAACGATCTGCACACCGCGTTGACGCAGTTCGGTCACGACCCCCAGCTCGCTGTTCTCGTCAACGAAAAGTTCGGCAGTCTACTCGCAACAGACGACGAGTGCCTATGCCATGGCGACTTCTGGCCTGGAAACATCCTCGTCCGTGATGCTGAGTTGCGGCCGGTTGAGCTGACCATCGTGGACTGGGAGATGGTGCGTCGTGGCACCAGCGCAACGGATGTCGGTCAATTCGCTGCTGAAGCATTTCTTCTGGATCGCTTTCGAGGTGGTAGAGGGCTGCTCGGTGTGTTCTTGAATGCATATATCGCAGCTCGTGGGCATACAGAGTTGCTCGGCAAGGCGTGGCTAACGAGGATGGTGGTGCATTGGGCAGTTCACATTGCATTCTGGCCGACTAGAATTGCGTGGTCTGATCAGGAAGATACTGGGTCGCTCGTTCATATTGGCGTTGTCACTTTGCAGAATGTTCTGAATGACGACTGGGAGAAGGTCCTGCAGTCACCGCTGTTAAGAGACGTGAAGGAGAAGTACGCCACGCTACTGTCACGACCATGAGGTCTTTCAACGATGAAAACAATTCTTCAATGTTTGGTGTCGAAAGCACCTGTGTGGGTACCCTTATTTTTAAAGATGTTAGTTACTATCCTGCCAGCAGACCCCACTCTACTGATCACATGCTGAGGGTGTGAGGGAATTTGTACCTAATCATAAGAACCTTCCACTCATTCCTTATATCGCTTAGTCAAGCAAACAAAAGCTTTCACGCGGATATATAAGGACTCATCATGGCCACCACCAACTATCACGTACCATGTCATCGACCAGCGCGATGTCTACACCATTCTCACCCGAAGATATCTCTCGAATCATAGGCCGACTCACGACTGCGCTTGGAGAGATAGCACAAGTGCTACTTGAAGATATTCTACCACGTATGTCGACAACACAAGTAGCCCAGACACAAGCCCATGTGTCAAAGATTGTGAACGGACTTGTTCGTGACTTTGTGCAGGAAACCAACAACGGGAACGAGCATCCATCACTATTGAAGCAACTGTACACCATGCTGCAACAAGACGTCGCACCTGTAACCCCTTCAGATGTACAGGTGTCAGACGTACGGCTGCTTGCTATCGTTGACAGGGTTGAAAGCTGGAGGGACTTGGTGCAAACGGGAGCGTTTGAGTCCCCGGACGAGCTAGAAGCCGCGTTGTTAGCGCTAAACTTAGACGAACAATCGTAGAAGGTACTGGTGTTGAGGACAATGAGATTGATGAGAGGCGGATCCGGATTGTGGATGTGATGGCAGGACTTTATGCGAATGGATAGCAGCCGATATTGGCATAAGTAATACAGGTAGTTGGGATGCTGATTCGAACTCTCGATAGCTATAGGCTTGATGGTTACTCTGCTCTTCATCACCAGTGGTCCACAATCGGTAATGCGTCCTGATCTTCCTAGCAACGTTCTTTCGATTTGCACAATTACTGCACCTTCTTCGCCCCCGATGCAATCTCGATGTCCGCCAATGCAGCCTCTCGCCAGAACCAGACAGCGGCAAGCGTCGCGCCCGGGCCACCACCACCCGTCAGGGCCGCAATAACAAGGAAGCTCTCAAAGATATTTTCGAGCGTAGCCTCTCCATTCCGCATCCGCTGCACATCGCACACCGCGACCCACGACGGAATAATGTACATTAGTCCGATGATGAGCCAATCCCACTGGAAGATGAACAGCAAACCCCAATCAGCGTTCCTCTTCCAGGTATAGGTACTGGGTAAGAAGACGCGGGCGTACGTAACATCGGGGTCTGTCGAAAGGGAAATGCCGCGGATGGCGTACCAATGAGTTGCCACACAAAGAACGAAAAGGAGAGCGTAGAGAACTTTGAGGTGTCGAACATCTGCATTCCTGTTGCTCGCGGTAACGGCGGTCGAGGTACCGGAGAGGGAGACGAGCCACATGGGAATGCCGGTAAGGATGGGCGTGATTTGCCAGAATGCTAGGAGGTTTTGCATCCTGTCTGCGCTCTGGCCGGGAAGGAACAATGCGACCGTAGGCACAACGTAGAACAGGAAAACGCCCGGTAAGATCACGCGCGCGTAAGGCAGCGGGACAGTGCGTCCGCTCTCAAAGTAGGCCTTGGGCTGCGAGACGCGATGGAGGACTAGCCACCAGATAGTGACGATGCAAGCTGCTCCAACATTCTGATAGACGAAGGCCCAAATGGAAATACTGCATAATGTCAGCTACGTCCGATTTCGCCAGATCTTACATTGGCAGACTTACTATTTCAGCCAACTATTCTGGTTTCGCTGCCGGTACGCCTCCACATTGTTGATCGTGACAAGGGCCGTGATTTGGATGAGGAAGTAAAGCTGTTGCCAGTAATATGGCTCGTTCCATCGCATCGGGCCGGCTAGGAAGGCAGCAACCAGGAAAGACAGACCTTCGTCCACCAGATAGATGCCTGTGTAGTTCTTCTTGAGAAGCACACCGTTTGGGAAAACGCCCGATGCTGCTGTTTCTAGAAAGCCCACAGGAACATCGTTCATCGCGGTAGTGATGCGCATCGTATAGAACCCGAGCGCGGCCAGACCGGCCATCAGCGCCAGTAGCGCATTGTTGTTTGGGCGGCCGACGTTTGCTGTTGATGTTGCCATGGTGGGCTGTTGCTGATGCTCAGGACATCTGGTGTGTAGTGGCAGACAAGTTTGGTTTTATTCGTCGTCCCGCGTAAGTGCTCGGCCTCACTTGGCAAGCTTCGCCCTCTCCTGTTAAACTCAATACGGAGAATACGACACCTATTACTTGCGGGGCTTGCTTATGTAAAGCGGCTCAAGGCCCGGTGGGCCTATTGCTGCTTGGCTGTGGCTGTCTGAGCAACCTCTTCATCATCAGGCGATGCTGTAGCGTGCCGATGTTATCGCAAAGCAACGACGAGAAGACAACAGGGCTCGGAGCGTTCGACGATGGTCCCATGCGGACGAAGAATGTCTCACGTGACCCAAGCGTGGTCGGACAGCTGCGTCATGTAACCCTGGAAGGCTGCCGAGGTCGGTCCGCGACGGACAGATCTATACGGGTTTTATCCGGAAATCGAACTCATAGGTGAGAAAAAGGTCTACCATCAAATGGAGCGAATGTCGTTTTTACTGTCCCTGGAGTGTTGATCCAGGTAAGTATACCGAATGTATGGTTCGGGCCTTCCGGCTAAGCGGCACACTCGATGGCCGGAACGTGTTTCAACGGCGTTGGTGTTGATGGCCATCCGGTTTTAGACGTGACGTCAATGCACCGCTTCACGATATGCCTCCATCGATATTCCTTTTCAAAGAGCAAATTTCACGGTGCGAATAGAAGGAAAAGCTGCATCTAGCCCAAAAGAAAAGACGGCTCGCATCGCTTTGCGGGGTGATGTGCAGCAGTGGTACCTGCCAAGCACCCAACGCGATGAAGGCGGACGCGGAGGTGCCGAGATCCAGATGTCGCGTCCTCCACGCGACGCTAGGGGAGTGATGTCATACCATCCTTTCATCGCCTTTCGACGCAAGCTGGAGCAAGCACCACCAAGAATCGCCGTCTTATGCATGGACGCCACCAGATCGAGTATGGCGCATCCAATTTATGATGCGCTCTCCAGCGCTATTACGCATTGGCGCCCCTCAAGTCTGGGAACCTTGGCTGCCAGGGTTTGACAGCGCGTCGCGTCTTCCCTCTTGTATGCTTGTCTCTCTTGTCAAACCTTGCCTGCATCCTCTTCCTTACTCCCATTCACAACGATACCCCAGAGCCCCTAAAAGGCCCGAAAGTCATACAAAATGGTTGGAGGCAGACGCAACGTTCTCAACAGCCATGACAACAGCAACGGCAATGTCAACCGTCGCCACAATGTCGAACAGTTCAGCAAGTACCAGCGCGTCGACCTAGAAAGCGGATATGGAGCGATTACCCCCGTCAAGCCGAAGCGTAGATTTCGCGATGCGATCGAACAAACCGTCAAAGACAACCGCGCCAATGAAATGAAACAGAAGTTGATCGACAACATCGATCATGAAGCGCTCGAAATCTATAGGAAGAGTGATGAGAGCGTATGTTGCAAACGATCGAACTGCTCATATAGATGCTAACATCCAACCTCAGCTCAAATCTATAAAGAACAAGAAGGTACGCGGTTTCTACGAGGAACAGAACGAGCGCCTGGACGACTGGGCCGAAGTCGACATGGTTGTCTCTTCACTCGCCGACGACATCGTCGATAGTATGAACCCGCGAGATGTCGATGGCGACGGCGTGGCAGAAGACCGGGGGCCATTGGGTAACAGCGGAGAGGACTTGGAACCTTTTCTACCCGAGGAGGAGCGCAACAAGCGAGCAAAGTCCGCTAAGCACGCGAGATGGGCGATCAATGTAGGTCCCAAAGTTGAAGCAAGCCTTCACAAGCTAACATGGTACAGATCAACGTAATCGTAAATATCCTTCTCCTCGCGGCCAAGGGTGTAGCAGCCATTTGGTCCAGCTCCCTATCCTTGATCGCATCCCTCGTCGATTCGGCCCTTGACTTACTCTGCACCGTCATCATATGGACTACCAACAAGCTTGTAAGCTGGCGTGTGGAGGGTCTGCGAAAGAAGTTCCCTATCGGCCGCCGACGTCTCGAACCAATCGGCATCCTGGTCTTTTCCATCCTCATGGTCATATCATTCCTCCAGATTCTGCAAGAATCGGTCAAGAAGCTCTTGCCAAGTGGTGACCACAGTGTGTCTCAACTGCCACCAGCCGCCATTTTCGCCATGGTGGCTACAATTGTCGTTAAGGGTACCATTTGGGTAGGATGCGCAAGGGTCAAGACAACACAAGTACAGGCCTTGGCCCAAGACTGCAAGACTGGTAGGCTCATTCCCTTCGTCTCGTCGAATGCAATGACTGACAAAAGCAGACGTTATCTTCAACACGCTCTCCCTTCTCTTCCCGCTTATTGGCGGCCACGTCGGCGTTTGGTGGCTCGATCCCCTTGGCGCAGCTTGCCTTTCGCTTTTCATCATCTATGACTGGGCTTGCACTTGCTTCGAGAACGTCACCCGTTTGACCGGTGAGCAGGCCAGTGACCGCGTGGAGCGCAAGATGATGTATATGGCATACCGCTTCTCGCCCCTCGTCGAGGGTTTCAAGAGCCTCAAGTGCTACCATGCGGGTGATGGTGTCTGTGTAGAGATCGATGTGCTCATGAAAGAGGAGACGCCGTTGAGGAAGTGTCATGACATTGCAGAGACCCTGCAGTACTGTCTGGAGGGCCTAAACGAAGTGGACCGCGCTTTTGTCACTATGGATTGTGAGTATTCTGATCGAGAGAAGGGTGGTTGTGGATATAACGCTAACATCTTGCAGACACTTCCCAGGGTCCTACAGGCCACGCCGGCAGCTAGATCTATGCATTCGAGCGATTCGCATTCGGCGCCGTTAATGGCTGGTCGCATAGCATACATGGCGTTCAGTCAGTATCGTACATACTTGTTTTGTTCTCATTATTTCCAGCGTCCTAGCATTCGATTTTTCAATCTTATGATCAATACAACTTCACGAAAACCACCAGTATCTCACTACGTCATCGCCGCGTTTGCTGTCCACGCTATGGCCTTTTTGCAATTCCCGAGAAGCGCGTGACGTTCAACACACGAAACTAATGACCCAGTCAAAATAAAACATTGTGCTTGTTGACAAAGAGGCGGGAGTCGCAACGCTTGCCGCCCTTCCACAATACATATCTGGCCCTAAAGACACAAGCGCGAGCGCACCCACACTCGGCTCAGCCACAGTCCTTCACCGACGCTGGAGTTCCCCGAAATGAACCCGCTCACGTTCAGCGATCGCGACGATTTCCTCGCCCACGGGCTCGAGCGCGCCGAATGCAACATCTGTAGAGAACCATTCGACAACGCTCATTGGCCGCATCAAATTCGCGCATGTGGACATGTGTTCGGAAGGGTTTGCCTCGAGACGTGGCTGCAACGGTCGGACAGCAAGGGCACGTGTCCACAGTGCAGAAGCATTCTCTTTGGGGCGGAGTCTGACTCTGATTCTGACGAGGTCTTTCCTGTTTCTGATTCTGAAGATGACGAGGTCGTTCCCGTTTCGAATTCTGAAGATGGTTATTCTGACCGGGACTGGGAGAATGAATCTTATTACGAGTCCGTTGTGAACGATTACTCTGATTACGAACCCGACCCGCCAACTATGGCTGATCCACGCCATCAGTTTGAAGCCTTGCAGGACCGCCACTTGCGAGGTTGCCTACTGCGTTTGCTCAACATATGCGATTCCACTGGATTTCTGGTCAAGCTGTGGAAAGAGATGGCAAACGCTTTCGAGCTGGATGGACGAGAGATGTATGTGGACGCATGGCTTCCCCGTATCACTGGCCTCATCCGATATCTGCTCGAAGGGCTCGGCTTGCCGGACGACAACCGTGATCGCACGACCATGGCTCTGGAACTACTCGCCTACAAGGCACATTGTCTTACCTTCTTGGGTTACACTCGACCAAGGTTTACCTACTACCCATTTGTGCTACTTTCACGAAACATGATACAAATCGCACGCATATTCCCTCGCGGTGTCATCCCCGATCCGATACTTTGGCGCGCCTTAATCTGCTTCGAGAGCTTAGGGAGATCGAATGCGAACGTTGCATTCTGCGATCTTCAACAATGCGACGAGCTTATGCTGACTCGAAGCACGGATCCAAATCCGGGCGAGAGAAGGTCTTACCATAAGTACGTTTGGCCTCGTACAGCAGCTCGCCTATATCTCCTTCTGGTCTTGATGGCGCATGACTGCAAGTACAATCTCGAACCAGACGACGTCTATGATGCCAAAGATGTGGCGAGGCTATTACAGTCACTCAACACGCCCGTTATGTCCGTAGGATCGTGGATGGATATGCCGTACGCTGCGCCACAGACACGCATGAGGAACGACATCTCGACGGACTTCTGCGAGCATGCAGCTCGATTTCATCACGGAGCGCAGATTGGCAACCCACAAACCGTGCCTAGCAAAGAGCTAGCTGATCCGCGTACAAGAAGGGGACTCATCTTCTGCCACATTAGAGGCTTCTGGCTAAGTTCTCATGCACCCGACACTACTGCTTACGACGCGACGGATGATCATATGCGGTTTGGGATTGATCGAAGCTTTGCTGGGGCGTATGGCCATGACGATGGCTCTGAGGCAGGCGATGATTAGGCGTAAAATGTAGTAGAAGACGACGCATAATTTCCAATTTGTCATAACCATCGCAAACACCCGGTAGGAGGTGTGGACTTCAATAAAACGTCCGGTGTATTCTGGTAGAACATGAATAATGGAAGTTGGATATTGACCTCATCAGGGTGGGAGGAAGATAAGATAGCTTTCGTAATACATCACAGTACTTATCATTGTGACAATTCACACTTTTCCATTCGTTGGGTATCTTTAACCAAACGCTCATGTAGCAAAAAAACAAGAAAACAAAGCTAACTAAGAAAGGAGCTTCTCGCCGGAAGACGCGAACCAGAAACAAGAACAGTAGATAAACCAGAAAAGACATCCATCCGAAGATACGATTTTGACCCCAAGAGCTCAGTCACGACTCCGTTTTACGCGCTCGCTGCTCTCAGAGTCAGCAGGCCCTCGTGCACCCCTCTTCCTCGCAGCACGCTCTTCCTCTTCAGTGAGCTCAGCGGGCTCTTCTCGCAACCGCTTCAAATCTTGCTCATCGTCATCGTGCGGAATGTCAGCGAGGCTGCGCTTGCCTTTGGAGGGACCTGCCGCTTCTGCCCCATCAACAGAATCTGTGGCGGGGACTTGGCCCGTAGCCGGATCCCGATCAGCCACCTGTTGAGCGACCAGACCCTTCATGTTGGCCATGTTGCTCCAATACATCCCCCTCTCCTTCATATATTCCCGATACTTCGGAAGATCGTTCATTCTCGACCTATCCTCGAAGTACTGGCGCTCTTCCTTCTTTGCGAGATCCTTCATGTCATCCCAGCTGAGGGCTCCATCTCCATTCACTGCCTCCTTCAACGCAAAGTTAGACGTTGAGATGCTTCGATAGAGCATCTCTAGAGGTTTCTGACGATGGGCGCAGCGTATAAACCCAGAGAGTTCCTCGTTCTCCGCCTTCACGTCTTGTGCGGCCAGAGCTTCCATGCACCTCCAGACGATTTGTTCCTTACCGTGAGGGTTCAGGTCATTGTAAAGAGCTTGTATGATATCGACGGTCTTTGCCATGTCGATTTGGGGTCGCCCATCGCTATCGCGTCCTTTGTATCGGGGATGTTTGATAAGATAATCTATCACAACATCTGTGTCCGATAGCTTCTGGAACGAGATATTAAATAGGCCTCGAAATTTCTCCAAGGCAGGGTCTTCGTTGTTTTTAAGCATTTCTGCCCGTGCGTTACATAAGAGCCGGGTGAATCGCTCTTTGATCGACTCCGGCTCTGATGTCGTCGGCTCTTCTTCTATGAGAGCCTTCGGCCCCGTCACAGAGGCGCCGACGATCGACGTCTGAGCTGCAGCGGGAGGGGTAGCTGACTGCGCAGTAGTATTGGCAGCAGTTGTGGAGGAGCCAGTATCCTTCGTAGGATAGTTGCTGACTTTTGGGATGACAACACGCTCTCCTTTTGCGTATTTCTCAAGCTTGTTGAACTGTGCGTTAGTCAACAGCTTGTTCTTCATGGCGGATTCGAGGTCGTTGCCAAGCCCTCTCGCAGATGTTGCGTTGTCGATATAGCCAAAGATCTGGTGTGGAATTTGGTTTGTCTGCCTCTCCTGGATCATCTTTGGAAGATCTTGTTTCAGAACGAGGTGAAGATCAGGAATTAGTTCTAGCAGGCAATTGACCTTGCCATTCCACCAATGATTGCTTGTGTTTGCCTTAACCCTGGATCTCGCTCGTGATTCAGTAGTGCTCTCAGGCGGGGGCGCATCAACCATGTTCTGCTCCTCGGTATCCACGCGGCTGGTGACTTGAACGTCATCCATACCGTCCTGTTCAGTACCGGAAGTATCGCGAGGAGCTGGTGGTGACTCTATCCCGTCCATGGTCTGACTGAACTCTGGCCGCGTGTTTTGAGAGTCGACCGGACGAGAATGAGCAGGTTCTGGGATGCAGACTTCCATCGCTTCGGTTTGCGATGCTGCTCCAAAGACGATCGACAGCTCACTAGTACTGACATCGCAGTCTGTGATATCTGTCGAGTGTGTCTGTTGATGAGTGTTGGGCTGGTTCTCACGTACACCGGCGGCGGCAACGTGGACGGTGCCGTTGTTATCGTTGTCGTCCTCGTTGTTGTATTCGGTAACGGGCGGATCTGTCGCGCCGTCGTTACTCTGGGGGGCCCTTGTAGGCTCGATAGTGGTTGGTGGCTCTGCCGAGACTGCATCAATAGGCGCTTTGACTTCAGCAGGAGTGCTCTTGTCGTCACCGACAGCGTCGTATAATTCGGTGGAGTCTTCTACTCCGTCAATGGCTTGGTCAAACTCAGGAGACATTGGCGCCTCTGTGGTGAATGTGCTACAGCTGCTGACCGACGAGAATAGAGACATATCGTCGGATGAATCGTCGGAGAATTCCTCGTCGCTGGTGATGTCGGGTAGAGGAATATTACTGGCGTAATCAAGAACGGATACGACGCGGGGTGCATGGAGAAGTATGTGCTCTTCAGCTTTCGGAAGTGAAGGAAGCGGCTTCTTGCTTGCGACGTCCAGATAGTACTCGTCAAAGGTTTGGTGGGGCTTCAACACTTTGAAGGCGGTACACAGTTCTTCGAACGCGCATTTTGGGTTCTGGGTGACGTCCTTGTACTGCTGGGAGGGTCGCGGTGTGATAGCGGCAGAGCGGGAACGTGTCTGCTTGCTAGAAGACTCGCGAGGTCTCTGCGGGGAGGTCTGTTTCGCGTTAGTCTAGTGACCGCACATCAAACGGTGCAAATCTCACGGTGTGGTTGTCCGTTAGTAGTTGCGCGGCGCTCATCGCGTCCTGGACTGAAGCAACGACGACCGGTACCATCTTAGCGAGCGTCTGCTCCGGCGCGCCAGCCTCATACGTCGGGCGGAGAGCGGCGAGTAGGCGAGAAACAATGCGTTCCTCCATAGCCTCCAGATACTCAATCAACTGAGGGGACAAGGAGCCGTCATGGGTGAAAAGGGGGGCGAAGCTTGTGGTAGCCATTGTAGGAAGATACAGGTCAAAGGAAGAAGAGTTATCTGGCAGAGGAATTGAGAGTAGGATTGCAAGAAGCTAGGTCAGACTCGCAGTGTGATGTGACTGGAAGGTCGTGAGAGCGACGCTTTGGCCAAGATATTGCGTGCGACAGGGATCTATAAGGCTGCAGCGACTGAATACCGACTTTCATTGAGCCAGTGATTTGTATGCGTGACCGAGTCCAGGTGAATGCGTCATAATGGCAAAACGTGCGAACGTGTACCACCCAAATTTGGATATTACAGGCGTAAAGATCCAGCAACGTCCAATCAGAGATAGCGCTCGTAAAAATCCAAGAAGTGCGAGACACGAAGCTATGACTTGTCATCGACAATAGCAAGTCACCATACACGAGCGGCCATAAACGCGGTAGCTTCAAGAATGTGAAAGAGGAAGGGAAAGATACAGACACATGTCTCTGACGTCAAGCCTTGGGATACGCCGCGCACCTTACAGGCGAAACAGCGCTCGAGGATCGCGTCTTTGCCCTTTCTAGGCAGCCTTGAGGTGACCGAAAGTTAACCTTGTAGTAGAGATAGTGATGACGCCGATTTGTAGCTCATAGGACGGTATAAAATATGCTAGTATTCTTGCCCTGATTACCGACGCGCTGGAATACGAAAGAAGGTGCGATAGACTTTGAAGACACGATCTGCAGATGACATGGAATGAGACTGGTGATATGTAAAGATGAACAGAACAGTTAGAAACTTCCCCGCTCACACACCTGCGTATGGGTAGCGATAATTGTGGCCAGGCAGCTAGAATTTCAAGCACCACCAGCCAGATATCTGGGCTTAGACTCTCAACAGTGATCCATCGGCATCATGCCCTTCCTCTCCCGCTGCCGGACAATGCGTGCTATGAGACGACGCGTGCGGCCCATTGTCACTTCGCTTACGTAAACTCGATTATTCGGACGTTCTCAGGATGGAAACAGCGGCAACGAGTTGTAGGATCTGGGGATGGCGTTGTCGCGTGGAAGGTGTTTGAGATGGGGTGGCTGGAGAGACGCGTTGGAGTTTCGTTGTGGACCGAGTATTACGTCATATCTGAGTAATCATGTGTCCGTGTCCGCCCTGACGCGCGACGCGACGCGACCCTCATCCCACGGACCATCGCGATGCATGTCGACCTAAACGCAAATGAACGGCCAAGCGCGCTTCTATTCGAAGACAATCACACTGTCCTCGAATCTTCGCGGACTCTTTGGCCAACGCAGCAGCCGCGTCGATGTGTCAGCCAGCACAGGGTATCTTCACGATCTAGTACTCCGATACACAGTATCGATTCGCGCGCCTTTTCTGACCTATCTAATGTTGGCGGCCATACATGGCCAACACGTAACCCAAAATAGCGGTATGCCGTGACGCTAGACCAGATCCAACGATGCTTACACATGCTTACATTGCGCCGGTGGCTTCAATAACACACACTTCGTACGGTCAGTGGAGATGTCGGGGCTTATCATCTACGAAGTATAATGTGGTGTGTGGAACACTCAATCAAAGCTTCAAGTCCAGTTACATAGCAATCTCGACAAGATGGTGAACGTCACCAATGCCAATGGCATCACCGGCGCCAACTTCGACGTGTTCGGCACCAATCGCGTTCTTCCTCGGGCAATGACAGCATTCACAGCCATCGCGTGGTACAACTCGATTGAGCTCATCATCCTCATCTTCGTCGTATTCAGACGGTACACTGGTCTATACTTCTGGAGTTTGATAGTGAACACACTCAGCATCGTGCCGTATGCGACAGGTAGGCATAAGCTTCTAGAGTTGCAGTGGTGATGGCTAAGTCAGTCTCCAGGGGCATGGATGAAGCAGAACAGCGTTGGTCACGACCCTCGCATTTACAATACGCTCCTCACGCTCGGATGGATATTGATGGTACCCGGACAATCCATGGTTTTGTACTCGCGCCTACACCTGATATCGCCCAACCTCAGGCTTCTGCGATTCATCTTTTGGGTCATCATTGTTTCAGCAGTATGCCTTTGCGTGCCGACCGTAGTCCTGAATCTACGATTATTCACCAATCACCCAGAGCGATATCTTCGCGGCTACATGGTCATGGAGAAGATACAAATGACTCTCTTCACTATCCAGGAGATCTCGATATCCTGCATCTACCTTTGGGAGACTCGGAAGCTGATGCGCGTAATCTTTGACGGAAAGGCCAGAAAGTGGATGTGGCAACTCGTCGCAATGAGCTTACTCCTGCTGATACTGGATATTGCGTTGCTTACGACGGAATTCTTGAATCTCTACATGATACAGACGACCTTCAAATCACTTGTTTACAGCTTCAAGCTCAAGATCGAGTTCGCAGTACTCAGTCAAATCGTGCGCGTCATCCAAGATCGTTCGCAGTCTAGCCGCTCAGACATAACGCCCCCGTCGGATTTGGAGCGCCAACTCAACACCCGAAAGCCAACGTCCAGTCAAGTGTCAGAGGTGGAGAGTTTGCAACGCAACGTACCACTTGAATGGCGCTTGTCAAGAGAGGCGACATCTTTTGTTTCGCCAGTCGCTCTCACTATGGCGAAGAGACAAGACATCAAAAGCGCTAGGTGCAGCGTCGTGTCCATAGACGCGATGTATCCTGGGAGATTGGGATGATAGCGCGATAGGCATTCTTTGGTCGAGTGAAGGATGGAGGTTGATTGTTGTGAGGGATACGGCTTGGAACTTGCGGCAGTCACGTATAGAAGGCTCCTTGATCGGTGAGCATCGGCGCGCGCTGCAGCCGTTCTTAGCAAGGGCCTCGCCTACTCCCATGCGCGATTGGCGCAGCCCGTAGTGTGCTTCACACCTTCGACCTTAGCAATGCTTCTCGGCGCTGTCAGGATAGCATACCGCGGCCAAGCTCATTCTCTGGGCGGCGAGTTACGTCCTCGATTTGAGCAAGCTTGGTGAAGCTCCAGTCCGACATATCCGTAGCCTACGGCTGCTCAGTGAGAACACGAATGATGCATAGCTGAATCAGGATGTTAGAGAGCTTTGGAGGTTATGGCGTTGGGCGCGAATGAGACCATGGCGTTCCCGGAAAATTGGCGGTATTGTGGTGAGAACGTTGACTACAACTTCTCGGTCAGAGGCGCTTAGCGAAGCTCAAACGACGGACGTGGTTTGTTATCGTCCTGCTATACAGTTCTAGCTACGGGCAATTTACAAGACACTTGGGGCATCAGATCACAGGACGCTTAATGCGTGGGACAACGCTCCCGGAACACTTGAACACATCAATCTTCCACCATCCAACCACTTATTGCCTCTCATTGCGCCCATGATGGACTTCCTTTCGCCATCTTACCCCATTCTGCTGGTATACTCAGTACTCAGGACAGCTTGAAAAACTCACTGCGCCAGCCATATACACGCTCCAGCCTCCTTCCAAATCGCCTAGCCATAATGTACGGAATGTCGCTGTCGGGGTGGGGTTCGTGGAAGTGAATGCCGCGATCAACATCAAGAGCCTTGCTGGGTGTAAACTGCCAGGCGGAGCCTTGCAATTTCTCCGCAGCAAAACCGATGCGAACCATAGCGCGCTTGAACTCGTCCCATTTGATGGCTTTCGGGAAGTCTTCGTCGTCTGACAGAGCGACATGGAACAGGGCTTTCATGGTCCTGTACGCGCGCTTGTCCAGGGTGAAGGTCTGCTGAGACGTGTCTTCGCTAGCGGCAGGGACCATGTTGGCAGGTTCATCGGCCACGGGAACAGTTGTGCTGCCTTTTGTCTTCGGCTTGGTCTTCTCTTCGATAGCTAGTCGATCAAAAGCTCCAGTAATCTGCATGGCCTGGTTGTGGAAGATCCTCGAGAAGGGCTGGTAGACGTACTCAGGCTGCCCCATTGGCTTCGGATTTGTAGCCAAAGGCTCCTCCCATGGTGGTGTACGCTGCATCTGCCCGCCTTCTAAGATGCATTGACGGATGACTTCATGCTGAGAAATACCAGTCTTCTCCTCGTAGAAGGTGTCGACACACTCCCAGAATCGATCTAGAGTCGCCTCGGCAGTACGCATAGCCTGAATGTTGCTCCTGTTGCGGACTTTATGAGCAGGATAGGCTAGCTTGCCTCGAAATGGATTAATCGCGTGTACCGGAAGTTGACACTGATCCAGGTGGTACAGCCATTGAAGAAAGTCCTCCCTGTGAGAGTGTGGTGCGTTCTTGTTGATACCGTTGCCCTGTGGCGTGTCGTACCATACCGAATGCTGCATAATGCATTCTGCAACGACAGATGTTTGCGCGAAAAGCTGTGAGACGCGAGGCGACATTAGATCTTTAGTGGTTTCGTTGGCTCTAAATACCGAAGCTACGTCATCGAGCAGATGGTATAACGCTGCGTCATTCGGATTGTGATTCGGCTGATTTTCGAGACAATGGAAGGATTCGACTATGCGAAATTCCTCAAAAGTGGAGATGCTTGATGGCATGAACCGTATAGCCGCGTTAGCTCCTGAGTGGTCTGTACGGCGGAAAAACCCTCGCATATTAGGCGCGCACATAGCATATTGAGAAAGCATACGATGCAGCAGTGTCGAGGCTTTTCGTGTTCGGCAGTTGAGCTCGCCCATGAGGCACGAAAATCGATCGTTGGACTCTTGCTGAGAGGTTCCTGACAGCTCATCGACAATGCTGTAGATTTCTTGCCAGACAGAAAACATAGTATAAGCCTCAATGACAACCTCCCTTGCTTTGACCAAGAGAAAACTGGTCCCGCCCAGGGCCGGATGAACTTTCCCTTGCTCGTCTTTTATCATCAGCGGACTATGATCAGCGATATCGACAAAGACTTCCGCAAAGTAAGAAGGGTCCTCTCTCAAGGCCAGGATGTGATCTTTCGCATTTGTACGCAAGGCGTTGAAGTAGCCGCGCAGTCTGGTAAAATCGATGGATGCTCGGTTGCGATAAGGTGCGATGACAAGCGCATCAGCAAATGTTGTATACCCAACATCTCCCCGAAGTTCAAGATCAGTATAAGGCGGCTCCTCCTGGACAGTACCACGAAGCAGCGTTTCCTCAGTATGGTCATGCAAGATGAGCTTGATGCATGTGACCAAGAACTTTAGAATTCGCTGTTGAATATGGAGAGTTTGCAGACTAGTCCGCGGACAGTACTCGTAACCATCTTCATTGAGAACGTAGTCATCGATGGGCCTAGTGAGGAGGTTCGTCTTTCCGTATACTGCGGGGCTTGGATCGCGTGAAAACTGGAGTAGATACTTTTCAAGTTCAGGTTCAGAACCGCACGGTGACATCTGAGCTAGCGGGCTAAATTCTTCCTCGGTGGGTGCGAAGATCAGAGGCACATTTCGACCGCGAGCATTGAGAAATATCAGCAAGCACTTTGGCTTCGAAAGGTCCTCCAAGTTGATGAAGGGCCACATCTTAGCATCCGTAGGTAGTACCTCTTTGTCCTGAACAAGCAGAGCTTCTTTCAGAACCGCTGCGTTTCGAGTGCCAGTGAAGATGTTGGCAATTTCAGCATAATCTGGACGATGCACCTCTGGCATATTCGGCCATGCTTCCAGCAAGATATCCCGGCGCTGAGCAGGAGACTTCTTGGTCCATCTCTTCCGTATCGTAGCTTCGTGTCGGACAAGTATGGTGTTCAGCGTATGGTAGTCGGCGCAGATACTCTCGCCGAGAGACGACGCATGTTTTGCAATTGTCGTAACCAAAGACGGCGACACGAGATCGTTGCGGTGAAGCTTCGTCAAGAGCTCATCGAGCTCGATGTCGTCAACACTACTGCTGTTAGTGACAAGTACGTAAAATCCGAGGAAAGGTACTCACGCTTGCTGCAACGGCAGTTTCGTGAAGTCCGTCATGGCCGAGCCAATTGCGCGCTTGCTTGGGGTATAACTCGTGGGCTCGAGAAGTGGTGCGGAGATTTTGTTGTGTAGAGAGTGCAGTGTCCGGTTAAACGTATGGCCGGTGTTTGTAAATAGATAGCGCGGTGTAGTGGCGGTGCGGCAAACGACGTCCCCAGGTGAGAGTGGGGTCTCAGTCTTCTGATGCGAGCAAGACTTCGGGTAGATGGACACACTGCTGCGGACGATATAGGCAGGCTATAGCCTCGCAGCTATCTAGTCTCAACATCGCAATCTGTTGCCAAAGAAAATGAATTGCGAATAGCTTATCATGGAGACCTTCGGATGTCGCAGCTGCGACCTTTTCGCGAAGAAGCTCAACCCGTTGGTAGCGCTCAGAATCCACATCCTCTTTTGTACATGAGTGAAAGCAGATGTGCGCTTCTGGGTGGGCGTGATCAGCAGACACGGTCTGCTTGTAATGATTGCAGGAAGGTATTGCGCAGCCTTTGTTCAGGTGAAACGATGTAGTCGATGCTCGGAAAGCATGGAGATTTCGCCGACCCAAACAGGTATGCAGCCTGTTACCTTCTCTTCAGATAATCTTGACCTGTCGAATGGGTAGAGCTTCGACGAAATCTTTTAGGATCCTCTCACGTTCTACAACGGATGTTTTCGGCCCACACTTTACTTCCAGGTAGATGACTCCCATTCTTTCGAAAGCTTCGTCTGACACCTCTCGCAGAACAAGCCCCGTAGCATGGGTCAGCCCAGGGTTATAGCGTGTATCGGGTTCATGGCGAATGATCATCGGTACAACTGTAAAAGTGTCTCCAATTGTGGCAGGCTGATCATCACAAGTCCAATCGAAGTCAACTGACATCTGCCACCTTTTCAATAGCCCAACGCTCTCGCATGGAGGAGATACTATTTCCATTGAAGGGCTGAAGTATTCGTGTTTTCCCTCATGGATTCGCGTCAGTCGAGTCATACAGGTGTGGCCCTCCAGAGTGATACTAGCGTTCGCGACTTCGCCAATCTGAGCCGGCCCAACGCGGGTAAAGGTCAAATCAACTATTCTTAGAGATGGCAACATCAGTCCGCTTTCCCAGCCAACCTGGGTGGGTGATGATGGCCATGCCCATGTTGGAACAGAGGATGGGGAACGCGACAGCCGGGGATGTGAACCGTCCGTGGTACGCCAGACAAGATCAGTAAGCAGACTGCTTAACCACATACCAGCGATGTATGTGTCTTGTATTCGCAACCGCATTTCTCGTTCAACTATGGCAGCAATTGCCGGTAATCGATCGCTCCTGTACGTCAGATTCAAGCCCGAATACGCGGTTACGATCTCATGCCAGCGGATGACTGGATCGTCAATGAGTCCATAAAACGTGAAGCTTTTGGTATCGCGTGGATAGATCTCATCGTAGGTCAATCCGTCTTCTGCGACGAACATGGTGGGGCATTGCCAATACATCTGAGGAAAGCATTAGAGATCCAATGAATACTTCCTAAAGGCGAACCACAACCCATATTACGGGTTACGTACAGTTTCGTACTGAAACTATACCGATTTTGTTTCGCGCCCAGTAGACCATGAGTTTTGAGAGAAAGAAATACTAATGGCTCACCTGATCTTTGCAAAAATGAACCATTCGTGGCGATAACATTCGCTCTTGATACACCCAAGCTCTAGTCAGGAGCGGGAAGTCCGTGAAAGTAGGGGTCGATGATGGGAAATCATCTGGATTGTTTTGTATGTAAGGGCGAGGGAACTTGGTTCGTTCTTCCCATACGTAGAGCTCGCAATCTCTCAATTTGCGGGCCTTGTATTTCTCACGGTCTGGTGTGAACAGTCCATAGTCACTGTTGCTAGCCCATGTAGCTGCAATGGTAAGATGAGCTTGCTGATATATATTTGCCATCGTCGCAGCTGTTTCCTCCCAGTCATCTTTATCGTCCTGCATGATACCTATATATATGAATTTTAGTTACCTAAACTACGACTACAGAAAGGAGAAGCTTACAGCAGGCGTCAATCCAGATGAAGCGTATGTTGAGCCGTGCGCACAAGTGAATTGCTTCTGAAAAGGTTTTTGGTAGCTGATCAATTACTATGCCATCTATTAGGCGACTGTGCGATGTCTTATCGAGTCTAATTGTAGGGCCTAATAAGCCCCAGCAATGGCTCAGACAGGCGTATATCGCTGGCGTACTCAAGCGTTCTCGAAGGTAAACATGCTTGCCATCTATTTCAAATACACGTTTCGGGAGTTGGACGATCTTGCGTCCACCACAAGCTCCATGATGCTCAACACAGGTTTCGATCCAATTGTACAGTGTCTGAAGAGCTCGGTCTGAAGATGTGTCTTCCGAGGGAAGTGTTCTCGTATGTACGGGTAATTCCTTCTGCGTGACATTGTGCGTGATATGTACTTCTTGGCCTGCATGCATGTCAGACACCACAAACTCACTTTGTGCCCCCTTAGTTTTCTTACTATCGATGGAAACGCGATAGTTAGTATCATTCAAGACATACCTTTTAAACGAAACAACTCAAGATCTGCTCTTAAACGGCTAGAGCAGCCATTCACGTCTGAGGCTTGCTGGTAAGAGATTGTTATTGGATGGTCCGCTGATATCACTCTGATCCCTTTGATGTTTTCGATTGGAAACCGTCCGTTACTATAGGAGATGAGAGCGTCGAGTACAATTTTGCAGCTTTGGCAAGCAGCAGCTGCCCCAAGGTGAAGGCTCGAGGTGGTTCTCACTATCCCCCTGAGGTCCCAGCTATCCATCTCTTGAGGCCACCTCTCATACGGAGTGAACAGGTATCTTGTTCCGCAAAGGTCGTGGCTTTCTTCATCAAATCCGTCTCGGGCAGCTAAAAGCGCAAGGAGACTGGATTGCGGACCAGCCGTCGTTTTCTCAATTGGATCCGCGGACCCATTGTCCGGATCCTGGGTATCCATCGCAACAAGGGGTCAAAAGCCAAGGGCTGTACTGAATAGCAAAAGAGTGCGAGAAAGTTCATAATGTGGTCCATCTCGTCGCGCTCAGGAGGATAGCAGCCAGGAGGCCGCCAAGAGGCGGGGCAACATGCATTCTCGCGGCACGGGCGATGATGCAGTCCTGTGGCACATGCTGGTTGCAGGTTCCGATGCCGGTGACCGCGTCGGGAGCGGTTGTTTGCATTCGCTGATCGCATGATGAAGATCTGGAGATATTGATGGTGACTGTAGGATGGATGAGAAGGGGACGCGGTAGCTGTACGCGCTAAAACGCGCCAGCCATCCATCGCTCTTTCCGTCACCGAGGAAGGAGCGTTCGCAGTCTGCAACAATACCGCTATCACATATGGGCAAATAGCTGTTCGCACAGTATACTAATTCATTGATTCGTCTATCATAGACGCGTTACTTCATATATGTCATCCCCAATCATCTCTACCAGCATCCCACCGCGCTGGGCTTACCCCTTCCAAACGAACAATAACAATATCAGAACTCCACCGACGCCTTCGTGTGGCTCATGTCGAGCATATAGGCGTAAAATAAGACAAAGAAATGCAAATGATATACGAGAATCAAAGTTCGTCCCGTCACCAATACCATGCCCATACTTTTGATGCGCAGAGTAGGTGTTCCTTCCCTCCCTCAGTCCAACTATAGTATCTCCTTCAGCTTCTCCTTTTGTGCGCTTGTCAAGCTAGTGGGGAACTTGATCTTTACGCCGACGATGAAGTCGCCGCGATCTGAGGGTTTCTTGGACTTGGGCATGCCGAGGTTGGGGTATCGTTCTGTCCAGGTGGGACCGGTGGGACCGCCGCTGCCGACGCTGAGTTGTTTGCCGTCGATGGTTTGGACGGTTCGGCGCCAGCCGGTGAGGGCTTCTTTGAGGTCGATTTCGATCGTGTGCTTGACGTCGTCGCCTTCGCGGGTGAACATTGCGTGGGGTTTCTGTGGTGTCGTTAGTATCGATTCTTGCGTGAATTGGGAATGGAATGACTTACCTCAGAGACGATGAAGTGCAGATCTTGTGTTCCACCCTCCACTTGGTCGCCGACATCTGAAAACTTGATCTTGCTGCCAGCCTTCAGCCCCTTCTTGATGGGCACCTCCAGAATCCGGTCTTGCGTGCTTTGCTTGCCGGTACTCTGGTCGTATGTCTTGCGCTTGATCTTGAGCTTCTTTGTGGTGCCGTTGTACAGCTCCTCCAAGCTCACCGCAAGCGGCTTCTCCACGACTGTGACTTCAGGCTCTGGTGCTCGTCGTCCGCCGCGGAATCGGCCGCCTTTTCCACCTCCACCGCCGCCGCCGCCCATACCACCACCCATTCCACCAGGCATACCGCCCATGCCAAAGCCGCCAAAGTCAAAGTCATCACCGCCGGCGCCGCTGTTGCGCATGAACTCGCCAAAGATATCGTCGGCGTTGGAGAAGTTGAAGCCATTTCCGCCGCCGCCCGTCGAGAAGTGGAACGAGCGTGTGCCGCCGGGCATGCCACCCGACGATGCGAAGGGGAAGCCTCCGCCGCCTCCAGCGCCCGCGAATGGGTTACCGCCAGCACCTCCAGCATCTTCAGGGTGTGGTACGCCGCCGCGTAGTATGAATTCGAGACCGTATTGATCGTACGTTTTGCGCTTCTCGGGGTCGGAGAGGATCTCGTAGGCTTGTGAGCATTCTAGACGTGCTGTTAGTATACTATATCCCGTCTATATGAGCTAGAGAGGCAGTGTACATACCTTTGAACTTCTCAGCAGCTTGCGGGTTGTCCTTGTTCTTGTCGGGGTGCCACTTCAGCGCCGCCTTGCGGTATGCTTTCTTGATCTCATCTTGCGTCGCGGTTTCTGATATGCCTAGAACTCAGTCAGCAACAGTTCATGTATCTACCCGAGACCTCGACCACCCCGGGCCCTGGCATGCCGCGTCCTGGCAGGGCAAGGCGGTGGAGGGGCACATCCGAGGCAAACGTACCTAATGAATCGTAGAGCTTGGACTCCTTGACCATTT